ATTGATTTGTTGTGGGAACATGGAGGACTTTGAGACTCGACAGATTTAACGTGCATCAGTCACCATTTACTACACGGGGAGTCTTCGGCCGGCGAGGATCGAACCCACGACCTCTTGGATATGGGCCCAGCGCCCTACCGACCAGGCTATCCCGGCCCAACCTTCATCTACTAAACTTTTGGAACTTTTACTTGGAGGAACTTTTAATACTTGGAGGAACTTTTAATACTTGGAGGAACTTTTACTTGGTGGAACTTTTACTTGGAGGAACTTTTTAATAACCTTCATCTATTAAAAAGTTCCTCCAGATAGAATCATGTTAACATTTCTTATTTACTAGTGATTTGGTATTTAATATTTGTAGTTGTAGTTATACACGCCACATTACTTCCTTTCCAGAATTTTATTTGTGATAGAATTCGATGAACAGATACCACTAGTTTATTTATGCATTTTTTTATTATTATATATATTTATATTATTCTGCTCATTATATCTTTTTCTTCATTTTTTTGTTATTGCATTTCGCTCAATTTTTTTTCTTTATTTTTTTGTTTATAGTATTTTGCTTATTTTTTCCTCTTCATTTTTAGTTGATAGTATTTCGCTAATTATTTTTTTTCCTTCAATATTGTTTATTGACCGGGAAACTTTATTTTACTTCAGCGGATTTTTTTTTCTTCCTTTGAGCAGTATATTTTTAAACAAATCAACTGTTTAACACTAGATAGCCTAAGGAAGTCATTTTTACTGCTTCTAATTTCAATTAGAAAAAGAATGATGTATAATAATGGCACAATTTCTTAGAATTTTGTACAACATATACTAAATTTCAGCCTTTCTAGTGTTAATGTTGACCTTCCATTAACGTTGGCAGGTTCATATCACGACCGCAGGTCACCATATTGAGGGGATTTATTTATCGACTATGTCAACCTTCATCTATCAAAAGGTACCTACTAGATCGAATCAAGTTAACATGTCTTATATACTAGTGAGTTGGTATTTAATATTTGTAGTAGTAGTTACGCCACAAGTCCCGCATTAAACTGACTGATCGTAAAGACACTGTTCCTAGAAGAACACCGAAGTCAAGCATCACTAGCTGCGATCAGCAAGCGGATGGGTGACCACTTTGATCAGCCTACGTAGAGGCCGAGGGTGCTCTGTATCGGCCCTCGTTAAACTGTTCTACCGTAAAGTGCTCGAATTCGCGCATGTCATCTGGCTATCAAAGCAGGGAAGCCATCTCTTCTGCAGAGAATCAAATGGTCAATCTGGCATGTCTTCGGATCATCCTCAGGGATGTTTCCCAGACCGTCGCCAATAGCCCATTGTGCAGCTCTAGTGTGATATAAATAAATTACCTAACTATAGTTTGTCTACGGTAAGAACAACCACCGCCGCAAAATCTGTGTGCAACTATGGAAACAAGAATAGCGTATTTCAGGCAGGGTAGTTTCTGTTCACTCTAGAGCTTGCACAATAGACGGAAAAAAAAAGATTCCTTTTCTTTAGCCTACCTGAGTGAAAACCTGTCTTTAACAGTGACCCCACACCCCTACTTGAAATAGTTATACTTCGTTACCATGGTTACAGCCACTGGTCCAGACCAAAGGCTAGGAGAGTTCTTACTTCAGACAAGCCATACCTTCCTCAGTTGATGTTTTTGAAATGTTGATGTTTTTAAACTTTCTAATCGTATCTGTAACGAATCGTATCGCAAACGAAAAAGTACCGCCTCTGCTTTCTCTGTAGCTCAGCGATTTCTAACTTAAGTGAGCTACTTTTTTTTAAACGTCATTAAATGTAAATTGGGTGAAAAAAACAATTTACCCTGTTTGAGTCGTAATGGCGCTTGAAATTCTTCATGAGAAATTCCTTCGTGTCCAAAGCTGTCTTCGGTTGCGGAGTGCAAGCATCGAGCATGGAGCAATAGAAATCTCCATCCTTCGAGTTGCGGTGATACTGAATCATCGGCACTTCCCATAATCCAGGAAAGTTTTCATTGGGACATGGTTCTATCTGGCAATCCTACAATAGAAATTCATTTTAAATGAAGAACACATTTAAAAATCTAAGGAATAATTTAATGGGAATAACTGATAGAAATTGAACACGATATGATATGATAAAACGGACTATCTTTCCCATTTCGCATTACCTATAGATTCAACGGATGGTTGACTGAATGTAAACAATAACAAGCTTCCTAAAACCGGAAGAAATGTAGAATACTTCCGGTGTATTCCTCCGCTTATGCTATGCTTACGAGGCGATGTGTGAACAGGCTTAATATTCTAGGAAGTTTTATTATTGTGATTTGTGTTTAAATGTATGCGTATTTTTACCATTCATAAGAGTTTCCTGCAATTTACAAATTTTAAATAGTTATGAGCCTAAAACAAATGTAAGAAAATTAATATCAAAACATATATAAAGAGTAAGGTTTGCCATGTTTAGAGTGTTATCCCTTATTTGGCTATATTTGTGTAAAATATCACTGTTTCATATTTTTTGGTCTGCTTTATATCATGCTTGTGAAGTCTTCCGAATTCATTTGCTGTTTATTTCGTTGAAATTTAAATAGAAAGACTGCGTTATATTGTAAACACTATTTAGTATAATAATATTGGATGCCATGCCTTTTCAAGTTCAAGCATAAAAATCAATCGGAAGTTGTAACCCGGAAGTCTTAAGACCAATTTTTACCCTTACAGCCGTCCACGCTTAGATTTACACAGTCAACCATCCATACAGAGCCGTGATGGCTCAGGGGATAGAGAGTTTGCCTTCCAATGATTTGAACCGGGTTCGAATCCCAGTGACTGGTCGATACGAATTCCGCATCCAGCTTGCACCGATCACAGTGCTGACGTGAAATATCCCCAGTGGTAGACGGATCATGAGTTAGAGCCCCCTTACCGTCAAGCTAATCATGGAAGGTTTTCGTGGTTTTCCACTCTACGTAACGCGAATGCAGGTTAGTTCCACCAAAAAGTCCACCACGAAGGCAAAATTTCTCCCAATACTTAATCCGGGAGTTCCTTCTGGATTGGGTTCAAAGTTACAAGGCTGCGAAGTTGAACATTAGTAGTCGTAAACTCAAAAGAAATAGAGTCGGCTGTTCAACGACGGTTATAACATAAAATTTAAAAAAAATGAATACAAAGATGCAGTTTCATGGAATGTTTTAATACGAGCGAGAAGCATATTTTTTGTTAATTTTTTTTAGGCCCACGACCGATTAGAATTTATAAATTACAGAAGACTCTTATGAATTTTCAAATTACGCGTACATTTAAACACAAATCACAATAATAAAACTTCCTAGAATATTAAGCCTGTTCACACATCGCCTCGCAAGCATAACATAAGCGGAGGGATACACCGGAAGTATTCTAAATTTCTTCCGGTTTTAGGAAACTTGTTATTGTTTACATTCAGTCAACCACTCATAGTGCTACTGAAGTAAAACGCGTCTTTCCTTCCTTTTTTTGTCTACAAAAAGGAGTTGCTAGTCTAAATTAGATCAGGTTTACTCTAACCAATCCATCAATTAACTGCATGTTCTGGTTTTTTTTATTGTAGTGGAACACAGAAAAGTGAAGCGTCTGTTGGCAACCTAGTTATGTAAATATGCTGCAAAAGCAATGGTTATGCACTGTTTCCCCCTCCAATATGATATCGATTCAGTCAGGTAACTTACAGGATTGTCTTTCTTAACATCTGTTCCGAATTGGGTTCCTAGCTTGTGCTGAATTTCTCTTATATTTAATGTTGTCATATTTTGATGTTATTGTTATGAAGTTAATTTTACTGTTTTATCCATTTCTAATTTATATTTTATAGTTACTTTTTATCTAATCTCTTGCGCTTTCAATGCATGCGAGGCCATGATGCATCCAACTAAACTGTACGAAAAGGATATGTGGCAATTCCAAGTCAAAATTTTTTATGGTTTTTCATTGATGTACCAACATTCTCTTGATGGTAGCCATCAATAATTCCATCATGAACCATTATATATTTGATGTTAACCATCACCCCAAAGTAGGAATTTGGACTGATTTATGATTATGATGGTGGTTTATTATCGTTAAAACAACTGATTTAGAAATCAAATGTTTTAACGATAATAAACCACCATCACGCCAATGAAGGAATTTGCACTGATTTTTGATAGACCAACATAAAAAGATTTTTTTTGATGGTATATTTTTTCTGAACCAACAATAATTATCATTAAACCATCATAGAAATGTATAGTTGGAACCATCATGGACCGTCACCGATTATCATGAATTGCTGGTGCATGAGAATCAAACCTCTCTTAATGGTTAACTATCATAGCATTAAAGTACCATTTTCCATCATGGAACGATGGAAGTTTGTTGGCATATCAAACACCATGAACGTTATAATGGAAAATGTTGGATGATGGTGACCATCAAATGATGTTGGACCATCATGAATCGCACTGAAACCAACATAAACCATCAAAATGTGTTGATTGGAACATCAAGAATTTCGAATTGGGAAATGTCCATGCGTTCTCACTGTCTCAAAGCTTTGTGTTACACTTAAGGAAATAAGAAAGGCGAGACCTGGGAATATCCGAAATCCAGAGTATAGGGCCAGATGGGAGGGTCCATGTATGCCCTGGAGGGCATGGACGAATCATAGAGGAAAGCTTCCTTCTTGAGGACTTTGAAAGTGGTGTTGCCACCTGTTTGCAGAAAGGGAGCTCGGAAGCCGACCAGTTCTTGCATCGGAATTCCACCGAATGTGTTGAGCAGTGTCCTCATGTCCACCGCTTCACGTTTCCACTTCTGCTCGCTTCCATCCCTCCACAGATCTGTGTTGCTTTCGTGGCTGCAAAATAATGTTCCATTGAGTCCTGTGTTTAAAATTGAGATTAAATACGCTTTGAAATAAATGTGTGTTTCATATGGCTTTATTAGGATTTCAATCCAGAAAATTTGACAGCTCACTGCATCACAAAGGAGCAGAAAAATAACAAAGAAACAATTCAACAATTTACGTAAAGTGAACAAAAAAGAACAATAAACATTTGAATCAATAAGCATTTCAACAATATAAAATTTTAAACATTAACATGAAAAAGGTAAAGTTAGTGACTATTCATGAGAGTTCTTGCGTCCCAATACAATTTAGTGACATTCCCACTTTTCTGGGAGTTCCTATCTAGTCCCTTGCACAATAAGAGGTGATCAGAGTTTAATACACCTGTGTCACAAATTGGGCATGCTTTGCTGGGAAGAATTTTTATGTTATATAAATGTTCTGATAAGCAATCCTGACCTGTTTTAAGCCTAAAATGGGTTACTGCTTCCTTACGGGGTTGGTAACAGAGAAATTTCGAATTGTCTTGAATATTTTCCCATATGCTGCCTTTTGATTTTATAGTTAAATCATAATTATTTATTTCGTTGAGTTTTTCATAACGTATTTTTTAAGAGTATCAGGTGTGACAGTTGTTATTTCTTGGGGCATAGTTGTTCCGCTTTTTGCGTGTTTTGCATAATCTGCGTTCTCATTGCCCTCGATACCAATATGAGAAGGGATCCACTGTATAACTATAGTTTTATTCCTTTCCTTGAGGAGGTTTATATCGAGCTGAATTTCGTTTAGCAGCTTAGTTTTAAAGCATTGGTTTTCTGCGATTGCTTGAATTGCAGAAATGGAGTCTGTGATATGTGTGCCCCCGTGATATGTGATAGACGTATTTTTGGTTTCTTTACTTAAAGTTGAGGCGACTTGACTTTCATTTAGTCGAATATAGTTTGTCTACGGCAAGAACTCCCCCGCCATAAATTCTGAGGTTATCTGCTGCTATGGAAACAAGAATAGCGCATTCCTGGGAGGGTAGCTTCTCTAACAGTGATCCCACACTCCTACTTGAAATAGTTATACCTCGTTACCATAATCACCTTAACGGATCCAGACGGAGGGCTAGGTGAGTTCTTACTTTAGACGAACTATGCATGAATTTTGGAGTTATGGAGAATTTTGGAGTTATGCAGAGATGGTTATTATTTTAAAATAATGTTGCAGTCAATGTAGATGGGGTAAAGGCCGGGATAGTCTGGTTGGTAGGGCACATGGCCCAAGTCCAATAGTTCGTGGGTTCGATCCCCGCCTGCAGAAGACTTCCCGTGTAGTAAATGGTGACTGATGCACGTTAAATCTGTCTAGTCACAAAGTCCTCCATGTTCGCATAACAAATCAAATCTCTGAGGGTACTGATCCAGGAGTTTCCTTGTCTTCTGGATTGGTCCAAAACTACAAGGCTTCGGAGTTGAACATAAGTAGTCGCAAACCCAAAATTGGGTCGGCTGTTCAACGACGGATATAAGATATAAAATAAAATGTAGATGGGGTATTGTCCTCTCCCTCAGTCAGACTATCGGAAGGTTCAATTTCCAACGTAACGCTTTACAAATCTTTTACATTCTGTGAATTTTTTATTTACTCTGATGTTCAGTTTGTGAGTTCGAGCATACCATTTCGCAAATTCAGTCTTTGACTATCTGCGGTGCGCTTACGGGCCTAAAAAGAAGTGGACAAGGTACGAAGGTGTTTCTCGTTGAACCGATTGTTTCATTATTTTTTTTAATTATACAATGTTAATACCGATGTTTTTACATAATGTAGCACATGAAGGTAAAACTCAAGATGGAAATGCAAATCGGCGAACTTCTCTCAAGCTATTCGTACTTTGTTTTTATAGATTTTGAAGAAGCCGCAAAGCGACGAGTTCCCTCTAATTAGCAATTAAAATACTAAAACCATGGATTCAGAGGAAAATTTAAGCATCAATCATATTTATCCGTGCTTATTACATCAATTAACTAAAGGCATAAGTGAAATAAGCTGTAAATTTTTAGAGGCTGTACTGACTAATAATTCACGACTAATGTCGCAAGAATATAACAAAGAAAATGTGAAAGAAATTTGTCCGGACATCTCTCGAATAAAAATGCCAAATTTAAATTTTAAAAAGAATTTTGACAAACGAAAAAACCTATATCAACATATGGTAAAAGCCTTGAAAGTTTGGAAAATGGGTCGAATGGCACTACGTATATAGGCTTTGTGTAGCACTTTTAGGATATTTGAAATTTTCAAATTGTTTTATTCTCATCAATTCTGTAGCGTTCGCAAGAAATAAAGTAATTAGTATAAACTGAATGATTAGATTTTGACTAAATAGCAGCGTCTGGACAGAAAGTTTGTGTTTTTGGTATATA